TGTGTGTGTGTGTGTGTGTGTGTGTGTGTGTGTGTGTGTGTGTGTGTGTGTGTGTGTTTCATACAATGTAGGGAAACTTTTCCCAAAAATCAGCCTCGTGGGGACCGAAGTGCATCATGGGGACCAATGCCAGGTCCCCATGGATCCAAATGCAAATTATGGGTGGGGTTAGGTTTAGGAACAAGGTTTAGGTTAGTTTTAGGGTCAGGGTACCTGTGAGGTTAATTTTAGGGTAAATGGTCAGGGTTAGGCTAAAAAAATGAATGGAAGTCAATGCACGGTCCCCACGCGGTTCAAGAATAAATGTGTGTATGTGTGTGGGTTCGGCTTTGGTGACATTTGGGGGCAATTTTAAGACAAAAATCCTACATCTGGGGAAAACTGGTGCATTTGGGGCCAAAAATCGAGTCCCCATTTGGCTTAAATGCCATTGGTGGGTTGGGGGTTGGGTTTAGGACCAAGGTGTGAATTGAGTTTAGGTTAGTTTTAGGGTCATAGGTACCTGTGAGGTTAGCCTTAAGGTTTGTTTATCCTTCAAGCAAGATGTGCGGCTGCGGCCCAACGATGGTGTAATTGCGTACATGTCACCGACCGCATTGAGTGTTTATACTGGGAAAAGACATGGGGGATACATTATAGTATTTCCTCCCTCTGCCCTCTCAACGCATAAGTCACGCGCATAGCAGCATGTAAATAACTGCTAGTTGCTAAAAATTAAAAAAAAAAAAAAAGAAAGAAACAGCGAGTTGCGAGTTTTTAGCTTGTTGGTTCAACAGATGCGGGAGATGGATGACGAAAAACACTCCCATTTTCAAATGTCTGGTGCTCGTTTGACGAACTTGCCAAACCGGATCTTTTTTTTTTTTGCCCACCTGGTCTCCCCTTACCTTCAGCACGCAGCGACTCAGTAGAGGAGTCACAGATGGTTGTACCTCCGGACCGCCTCGTTGAGTTTCTCTTTGAAACTATCCGTTTGGAAAAAAAAACGGCCTCTGGTAGCGAGTAGCGGGTAGCGGTGTCACACACAGTCCAAAAACATCCACAAACTTTGAACCAATCACACACTCCGCATCCTCCGCGTCTCGGAGTGCTGACTGGGGGGCAATGTATAGGACAACTGTCACCGGGGGATCACAGCGGGAGTGCAGACGGAAGTTGCACAACTTTTTTTCACTCAGCAGGTGGTAAAAGACGTGCGACAAGAAGCATAAACCAGCCTTTAGGGTTTGTGGTCAGGGCTAGGCTGTAGAAAAGTTATGGAAGTCAATGGAATGTCCCCAA